TGTCTCAGTGGACTGTACAATTTGTACAGAATATAATTGAGAAAACATATTTTGTTCAGCAAGATAATCTCCACATTTATACACCCCTTTATCATTGTTCAAATTTAAAAAGGAAATTAAATAAGTAAAAACCTAAACTTAGGCTTAAAAATGGGGGTTGCTAAAAACGGACTAAATGAGACTACTAAACGACATCATGCAGAACATTAGCCACTGTTAGCTTAGCACTTACCACTGCTAAGCTAACAGCGGCTAATGTTCGGCATGATGTCGTTTAGTAGTCTCATTTAGTCCGTTTTTAAGACACATTGAAGCCAGGGTTTCCCACACATAGTCTTAACTTGGGCGGGCCGCCCAGGTATATTAACGCCGCCAAAGTATATTTCGCGACCCATTTAAGTGGTTTTTTGTATCCATCCGCGAGCACGACGCCATCTGCGATCGATTCACTAGTGGACAATGATCCCTCGCTCTACGCCTCCTGTACCTGTTCGCTCTGCTATCGCGTTAACGGGTCTGCTAACAAGCGACCAACAGAAAGGTTCATGTTGTTGCACGTCACAAAGCCAGTGAAAAAAGTTGTAAATGATTAAAGAAGAAGTCTGTTTCTCTGGAGGAAGAGGTGTTTAAACCCTGCACACAATGGTTTTACACCAAGCTCCACAGAATAATATCACATGTTTAAACCATGGGTTATATAACACTGAACACAAAGGGGTTTTACACCAAACTCCACTGAATTGTTCAACATTTGAGAACCAGCGATGTTAAACCCTGCAAACAATGGTGTTATACCAAACTCCATGAAGTGGATTTCAAATGTCTAAACCAGAGGAGTTGAACACCAAACTCCATTTATGAATGTACATTTTAACCCCAGAGGAGAATGGGTGAAACCACCTGACGTTGAGTCCCTGTGCGGCTGACTTGTCCTGCTCTGCTGCTTCCCTCGGGGCTCTGTGATACAATATATGCGTCCACTCCATTTCAGCGGCAGGACAGCTACTTAAACTCTTCCAGCCCAGTGCCCAGGCACAACTCAGATATGAGAGGAAGGAGTTGGCAGAGTTAAGTCAGAACTGCGTCTGTGCTCCAGTTTCTTTCAGATAACCGTCATCGCAGTTGACAGTCTTGATCTCTGCATGAGAACATGATCATTGCTGCAGCACAGAGCCTCAAAAAAACAGTGTTGCTATATAAACAGAAAGAGGCTTTACAGGCGGATCACAGGACACTGCACTGTTTTCATGGTTTCAACTAATTTCATTACATAACCAGCAGCCACAGAGGAGCACAGGGCGTAAGCAGAGCTGTCATTCCCATTTACACCCATCACGCCCCCCCCTCCCTCTTTCCTCCACCTCCCTCAGGCATTTTGTATTGCCACTGCATTCATGACAAGATGAACAATACTCGTAAATTTCTCTTTGACACTGCAGGCACTCCAAGTCTCAGAGACGTGTTCCAAAGTGGAAGTGAATAAATCAGTGTATTGCTCTGAAACAAGAAACACTTGACAGATATTACTTTGAAGTAATGTTAGAGTAGTGAATAATGAAATGTGTTACCATGATGAATAGTTTTTCATGAAGCTGTTTAGCTGTCTTTACATAGTATAATTGCCAACCCCCAAAAGATGTTTGCAATAAAGCCGTATTCAGCTTCAAGGTGTGTCATGTTCTTTGATGCTTAGATATTGTCAAGCCAGACTCCATTAGAAAAGTTAGAAATTCCACTTTCCTTTAATATCAATCACAATAAACATGAACACAACATGTATTTAGAGGTTTTGCGTGAAATAATAGTCAGTTGGCAATTCGAGAATATTTGAATCACTAAAAGGCACTGCAAAACCCTTAACATTGAAAGTCTTGTTTTAATTTGTGCACAAAAGGGGTTGGCAACCCATGTCATCCAATTGTGACCTTACATTTTACTGACTTGAAGTGCCATTTTGTGATATCATAGTACACCAAATTAAATATGTATATCTCAAAATACATGCAAAAGTGTCAGTGTTAATCAAGTTACATTTTAATAAGCTTCCATAATTGCCATTTTCTTTGATTCATCGATATTTTCAAGACAGATTCCGTTAAAAAAAATGAAACACAAACATAACATGTATTTTGACGTTTTGCATTATTGAGCTGTAATCTGTTGCCAATTCAACAGTACGTGAAGCACTTAAAAAGCACTGATTAACCTTTCACACTGGAAGTCTTATTCATTCACCCACAAAGGTGACTAAAGCCAATTCATCCAGTTTTTACCATACATTTGAAGTGCCATTTAGTGATATCATAGAACGCAAAATTGAAGATTTGCATCTGGAGATATAGAAAAGTGTCAGTGTTTATCAAGTTATATTTTAATAAGCTTCGAAATGTGTCATTTTCTTTGATGCAAGTACATTTTCAAGCCAGACTCCGTTAAAAAAAGTAACTTATTCTACATTCCCATCCTCATCAACCACTTAAAACACAAATAAAACATGTATTTGGAGGATTTGCATAATTAAGCTGTAGTCTGTTGCCAATTCGGGTATATTTAAAGCACTGATAAACCTCTAAAAACTGGAAGTCTTCAACTTAAATACTCACAATGGGGGCGTAGGTTGGCAAGCTATATAAACCAATATTCACCTTGTATTTTACAGAAACTAAGTGCTCCTTGGTGATGTCAAAGTACGCCGAATTGAACATATATTTCGTAAATGATATTCAAATCTTTATTGGGTTGATATGGAGTTGTCTTTTAAATAAACGGCTCCAGTTTAGAGAGATGAAAAGGGAGTTCGGTGTGAAGCTTTTTCCGCACCGGAGGAACCCGCATTTCGCGGCAGGAGTCTGGCATGTAAACAGACCGTGGGAGAGAGCACCTCCACCAACACCGACCTTTGCACCGAAGTTAGTTAAAGCTCTTGTAACCACACTTTTCTTAAATGCGAAACCTTAATAAGAAAAATCAATCTTATATGAAACTTACCTCTTTTAGTCAGTTATTTTTTAAACTTTTCAACCCATGAAATGTGGCGGACCACGGTGGCAGATTGTAGGAAAACTGGCAGAGTATTCCTTGTGTTGATATTCCAGAAAAGTGGGGTTTTATATCCCAGTAGTGTTAACTTCCAAGCGTGTTAGATAGTGGTTGAATCCCCAAACAGAGTTAACCAACACATATATCAAAGTTTTACGGACTTTAGTAGCCTACTTTGTACGTCACATCGCCCGGTGACGCTCTTCCAGGTTTTCCCTCCTCTCCGTGAATGCCACATTCTCTCCGCTGCTGCGTTCAGGACGAGGCGCGTGAAGTGACAAACAGCAACACCCACAACATCCGGATCGGCCTTTCTAAATAAAACCTGACAAAGAAGTGTCTTCTACAAAATGTAATTCTGCTACTTGTCAGTCACCATAGACTTTATATATAAAGCTTGTCGTCACTTACTTGTAATGTAGTATGGAAGCCCATTTCCGCTAGTTAAAGAAAACAATGAGAAGGAAACTTGAACTCTGAATAAAAATAATGATTGAATAATTCACCAACAGAAATGTATTAGAAGCAATTTATAAATTTCGAAAATGTCAATTTTTCAATCCAACATACCCAAAATGACAAAGTTTCAGCTAGCTCATATATGGACTTACTGCTTTTCTATGTCATTATTTATAGTGTAATTCATATATTTATAACTTCAATACTTTACATTAGCTATAATTAGTCTCTTTTTTCTGACGTTTTACTGAGAAAAATACTTTATTTATCAAAAAGTTTAACCGGAAATATATTTATTTCAGTTGCAGCCCGAATCTTCTGTTTTTCAGCTGTACCCACATTTATTTCGGAAGTTTTACTTTCCAGCAACTAAAATGAAATCTGTGTAAACATGAAACAAAACACACACACACACACACACACACACACACACACACACACACACACACACACACACACACACACACACACACACACACACACGTTCTTAGAGCATTAAAAGACAGAAAGAAGAAACATTAAAAGTCGTGCTTTTATTTTGAAATATGAGTTAGTTATTATCTGTTTATTTCTGGCTCTTGTTGTGTAGCTTAATGAAATATGACCTTCCCACCCAATTGTACCACTCCTTTTCCAGAGAGGGTGCCTTTTTATATTCAGCAGTTGTTGAGGAATTCATTTATAACATTTGCTAATGTTCCTCTTCAGAAAAATTATATATTTGTTTTCATTATTTTACTATTAAAGTTTTACAGAGTTCATGAGTCAATAAATGGAGCGAAAAAGTGACAATTCTCACATAGTTCATATACAAAATATAAGTTAGCATTAGCTAAGTTCTCCATATTATTTTGTGTATATGAGTAAATAATCACCAGAATGCTCAAATTATTAACATTGAAAAGTGAAAGTATAACTTGCAAATATATTTTTAATTAAAAAAAAATTGAATCTGAAATCAGTGTTGTATACAATTTATGAGTGATTAAATAAAACACTTTAAACAAAGTTAATTATTGTACAAGCTTGTTGGTAAGGAATGTTGATATTACATTACATATATTGGGAAAGTGTTTTTATATTGTAAAACACAGGATAAATATATCATAAGGACAGTTTTGTAGAAATGGACACTTCCCAAATTTGGATCCGATGTACATTTTCGAGCTTATATTCCCCCGCAATTGCTTTTAAAATTAAAAAAATAAACTGCATTAATGAAGCTACTTAATGCTTATATTCAGTCAAATTTCAACGTAAAATAATCAGACGTAAGGTGCCTTTTTAAAAGGTTTATGATTACAAAAAAATGTACATTAAAACTGGACATTTTATAGGCACTTTCCAAGTTTAAGACTAGATTTAGACTCACATTAGATAAGGCATCGTTTGAATATTTAAAGCTAACATTTTAGAAAACTTGCAAAAGATAATTGTCCTTATGTGAGAAATCAACCAGGGAAGTTTCCTTCTGATATCTATTAGTATAAATGTTTGCCCTGTCAGTTGCCCCCCTCCCTCTGGTACAACCTGAGGACCCCCCGATGGTGCAGCTCCTCCCAGAGCCGGCCCTCCATGCAGGTCGTGGTTGGAGAAGAATCCAAGAGGCTGCCAGGTGGAGTCGTAGTAATGATCGGAGAACGACGCGTAGCTCCTGGTGATGAAGCCGTACGCAGAAACCTGCAGACAGGCATCATGCTATAATGATAGATGTGTGTGTTTTTGTGTGTGTTTTTGTGTGTGTTTTTGAGTGTGTGTGTGTGTGTGTGTGTGTGTGTGTGTGTGTGTGTGTGTGTGTGTGTGCGTGTGTGTACCTGGTCACAGGTGTGCAGTGCTGTCAGCAGCATCAGAGCTCCGGTGCTCGGCATGTAGAGGTGACGAGTCCTGATGTCTTTCAGCAGAGGAGACCGCAGGAAACTGAAAATGATTTTAAAAACGACTTATAATAGTATAAAATTGATAAATATTTTAGACATTTAAAAAAAGTGTAAATAAAAGGAAAAAAAATAATTCAAATAAAGTGTATAAAAAACAACAATACACAATAAAATAAGGAATAATTTAAACATAAATACCTGAGATACTGACATTAATATATTCTCTAATTACAGCTGCGCTCCACCTGCGAGTCACGTAGGAAATAAAACCTGGGTGGAGAATTTTGAAGTTTTCTGCTGGTTTGTGACCAAAATACTTCCAGGGCCTGTTGGAGACACAACACATACATTATGACAAACAATAATAACAACAACAACAACAACAATACTGGTGGATTGTAACTAAATACACATTTACTCAAGTACTTTACTTCCATTTGAGGCACTCTTAATTAAGAAAAGCATTTATTTTGATCTCAGAAGAAAATATTGTACTCTTTTTTTATACACAAAATAGTAAATGGTAAAAGGACTGCATTTATAAGATTAACATATACAACTCGTCATTCAGAGGGGAGGCTGCTGTACAAGGTGCCACCTGCTCAGGGAGAAACTCATTGATGTCTAAAGTTAAAAATAAAAAATTCAGCCTAAATGATAAGACCATGAATTAATCAGTGAATTGACAGTACTGTAAATCATTGTTTTCAATTAATAACAATCAACTTGTTGCTCATATACTCAGGGGCGCCGTAAGGGGGTGAAAGGTTAGGACGATTATAAGGGCCCGTGACTGACAGGGGCCCCAAAGAATTTTAGAAACATTAAGAAAATGTTTAAGTTACATTTCATCAACCTCAACAAATTAAAAATCAATATAACGTTAAATTCAATAATGTACTGCAACTACACTTACGATTCGATTTCACTGTTTGTTCTGCCAAAAAAGTATAATTTCCAAAGCCTCGTCGTACACCCTCTCTATTTACATGCTAATGGTTTCGGGTCCCTGCTCCAAATGCGGTGCGGCACCGCACTTTCTGCGCAGAGAGTGGGGAAGCATGTGAGGAGAGGTGCTAGTACTTACGCTTTGTGCCATCTCTCAACCACTCACTGAAATTCAAGCTTTCAAGAAAGAAAAGACAGGAGAGAGGGACTAAAGGGCGACAGTGAATGTCTAGCCAGTTTTTCAAAAAAAGGTGGGTGGTCCATGGTGGAAATTAGTCTGTTAGCTAAGCTTAGTCCCCAGTTGTAAAATAAATAAGTTGTAATGTTTTGCTGACATTAATAGTGTCAATATCTTCACAGAAAATTCAGAGTTTTTCTTACTTCCTGCTTTTAGCTCATGATTTAATAAATGCAGGTAACATTTTTAGCGAGCTAATTCATACTAAATCAAGTTGTCCCCTCCCCTGGTGCCAGGACCACAGATCCATCTCTAGGGTCAGCCCCTGCTCCCCCATACAAAGGTTTGCATCTTGCCATGCTGGTCCACTTGGAAATGGCCAGTTGCTAGAAAGCTGGATTTCGGACTTGATCAGTGACTTGCCTGTAGAGAACGGCCTACGGCGCTGGGCTTCTTGGTGAGAGGCCTGACTTAAGGGGCTCGTACATAACTGTTGAACGGGCAACGGCTATGGTAGACGATATTGGATCACACAGAAGACGTCATGATGAAAAAAGGGAGAACAGGTAATAGGCTCTAATTTAGCACCACCATCAGGCCTTTCCATTTCCATTTCCGTTTTGTTGTCCATTTACACTTTAATACCCGCTTATTTTGTAGTTGGTATGTATATTTTAATTGAAAAAATCTGCTGCTTATGTTATTTATTTTGTTATAGCATTTTATAAATGATAATATTGGTGTTAATGTTCACTTTATTTTAATTTAAGAGGTCATGTATATTTAAGTTATATTTATTTATATTTATGAATGTTCCATTGAAAAATGTTATTAAAAAGGCATGTACACCATAAAAGATGACTATTGAGATCTATTGTCAGGAACGTTAGTCTTATATCAAATAGTGAATTATACTGCAGCAGAATGTTGCACGTCTGCACAGTGTTATATGTTCACCGCTCAGTGTCAGTAAGTATTGTGCGGTTAGTATTGGACGACAAGATAGAGGCGAGCCTGTACAGGTAGAGTTATTTAAAGCATAAATGAGGGGGTTGGGTTCTGGAGGTGTGGTTACAGCAATTGTGCTTGGTTGGCGTGGCCTGGGCCTGGTGGTGGGGCCCAATGTGATATCTTTTCATGGGGCCCAAAATCCCTGGCGGCGCCCCTGTTATACTATTGCCTTCAAAAATTTAAACTTTGTTGTCTATTATCCCGTTTTTACTGAAATATAAAAAAAGAAATCCCAGACTTTTTTCGGGAAAATATATAAAAGATGAATATATAACTTTATTCTTGAAATAGCATTATAAATCAAAATTACTTTATTATCAAAATATAACTTTAAAAAAAATGTATAACATAATTAATCCTAAAAAATATGTTGAAATAAATATATTCTTAAAATGTACATTAATATTGTCACAATGCGCTTTCAGTAATTTTATTTCAATAAAACACCTGTTTGAGAGGGATGCAGTTCAAATAAATTCCTGTGATATAAAAATCTGCAAGATGTTTAAAGGCTCTTCCCCCATCTGCAGGCCAAAGATGGTGTTACAGCGCAGATAGAAAAACTGCAAACATGTTTACATTTTTCAAAACCATGCTCATTAGATCAACAAAAATCCACTTCAGATTTAAGCCCTAATTGAATGCTTTACTACAGAATTATTTATTTACTATAATAACTTCTACCAAAAATTGAAGGGCCCCTAATATACTCTCTATTTGAACAATATAGCTCTCAGATATATACAAACATGTCTCTGATGTGTTTGGCTATAAATACCAAACAGATCATACATTGAAGCATCCCATAATCCCCTCTGTTTCATCTCTGTTTGAGCCCTGTCTCAAAAGTGCTGATTCTGTGTCTGTAGCTTTAAATGTTAATGAGCTGCTGCTGGCTACGCCCCCCTGATAACTGTTTGGTTTCAAAACAAACAATGGTGCTCTAAAGCTCCTTACACACCAAACTGACACCAAAGAACATGTCCCGATGGGACGTCGCCTCACGTCGCCTCACGTCTCCTGCGTCTTGGCCATGTGTCACACTGGAACACACCGCAAAGACTTCAGCCGACGGCCAAGTTGCACGTACGAACTGCGCATGCGTGAGTGGGAATAACTCTCCTTACCAGCAGGCGGCGGTAGTGTGTATTCGTCATTCAAAAGAGGCAACAACCTGAAGACAGACTGCGTGATACACCGAGAGAAGAAGAACAGACTGCGTGATATAAACAAACAACAAATAGCGTGTGCGTTCCATTTTCACTCTACAACGAGAAGCTCATGGGGCTTTCTGTGTCGAGAGCTGGAGTTAAATTAAATCTCAGATTTGCCTTCTCAATAGTTTGTTTGGGTCCCTCACTTCCGTTTTGCTTCTCATGCACTGATTCGCTAAGCTGAACAGCCAATCAGAGTGATTTCTTTTGCCGACTGCCTTTGGCCGATTGCCTACCGATTCAACATGTTGAATCGGCGGCGGAAGGTGTCGGCACGGCCGAAAAGACATGACGGTGCATTACACACCAATTTGAGTAGGGCGGCACGACGCTCATCGACGGCCCGACATCTATCGACATCTATCAACGCCGAAATCGTCTCGGACCTAAGATGAGATGCAGTTGATAAGGTTGGTGGGTGTTACCTTGGTTTGCTATTGGATAATGGTTGCCCAACACAAAACATATTATGATATCACAAAGTGGCCAAAATCAGCTCATTTTCAGACAGGTTTTAATATAAATGGGTTGGGACAAAAAGAGAGAGAATCTTTTTTCCACAACTTTCCATATCTCTTAACACAGAGGGAAAACATATTTATGAATGAAAGACATGAAAAAGTGGATTTTGCATAATAGGGGACCTTTAATGATAATTTTGTATATCTTAGTCATGGTTTTATTTTAGCCATACACTTTAGCATTTACAATTTAATATCTAAGATTTTCCTCTTGATCTCTTTGTGATTTTTCCCTTTTTTCTTCATGCATAGCGCATTGTTGCAGGTGGCCTGAGACTTTTATCAATAATGAATAATGGACTCACCTGTCCCCCCTGTCCCTCCCTGAGCCCACGACCCGACCCTGAACAGCAGCCGCCATCATCACATAGTCTCGGAGGTCTGAAGGGATGAAGATATAGTTTATCTCTTGCAGAAGAAGAAAATTAGCATGAACGTTTGAAGTTACTGCTACATACAGTCAAATAACTGATGAAAAAATAATCTAAATGGACGGAAAGTCATCCAAATAGTTTAAAGGGGGATGAAAAATGACCAAAAAGAGACACATAACTTATAAAAGAGAAAGACCAATACAACTACGAGACACAACTTTTCCAAATACAAACAAAACAAGATGCAAAACATCTAATCAGTAACGCATAAGAACCAGAAAGTGATGCAAATCATCTAAAAGGTCATGCTTAAGAACCAAAAGGTCTTGCAAATAACCAAAAAGAGATACAATACATTTAATAAGTGATGCAAAATTACTAGAAAGAGACGCAATTGGATACAAATTATGCAAAACTACAAAACACTATTGCTACACATCTAAAAGATGATGTTCAAGGACCAAAAAGGATGCAAAATCTACTAATGGCGTATTTCCACTACAGCATGGAGCTCGCTTCAAGCGTGCCGAGCCGTGCGGGACCCGTTTTTGGTTGCGTTTCCACTAGGCGTAGTTCCGGCTAGCGGGTACTATTTCACAGTTTTTCTGGCCCCATAAAATTGAGGTCTTTCCGGGCCAACAACCAGGCTGAGTCGGGCTAAACTAGAGAGAGAATCGCTGGCAAGGGGGCTACAACTACAACAAGATGAACATATTTGACCGTGATTTAATTGTACTACACGTTGCCGAAGAAACAACATACTGATACCGGTTAGTAAAAAACATTAATTAATGCTTTGACAAGTCTGCAGACAGACGGCAGGCGAAAAACCTTTTAAAATGCGTGTTTTCTGAATGGAGATCGGCTAAGCTAACGCAGTATATGCTCCGACCGTCCACACTCACAAAAACGCACTATACTGACATAAAATAAACCAGCGACGTGTATTCGCCATGACACAGACAGTCTGTGGTTTGTACTTGTTTAACTTTTGTCTGGTTTCTGAACAGATATGAGGAGCTGTGGGCTTGAGTGCTAACAGCTAATGGCTGATGTTGTTTTTCTGTGATTCTCATTGAAGATTACGTCACGGCTCCGCCTACACTGCGTTACTATAGTTACTACCCTAGTTCCTAAACTGTAATAAAAATGCGCCATAAAGTGAGCCAGTCCTAACAAGGCCTAACGAGGCCTAGCCATACTGAGCGAGGCCGTGTAGTGGAAATGCGCCATATGTGATGCAAAATGACAAAAAAGTGATGCAAAATGTCTAAAAGAGATGCAAAATGACCAAAGATTAGACAAACAACTTGTAAAAATGTATTCAAAATGACAAACAATAAATGCAAAACATGAGTGAGCACAATAACAGTAGTCAGAGTTGAGTTCTCCCCACCGGACTCTGGGGGGTTCTGGTGAATCCGTCGGTGCGGTACCGGCCCAGCGAGTTCTTCATGGTGTTGGTGGTGAATCCGTAGAAAGAAATCTTTGTCCCCACTTCTTTTTCAAAACCTCTGATCACCACTCCGTTCATCCTGAGGGGCAGGGAAACAGTTTTTATAAAAAAATGTATCAGTTAGCTAATCACAGACATGAGAGAAACATGACCTATTTGTCATTTTGTGTGTCTTTGAAATCTTTTTGTTTATCTTTGTGGTCGTTTTGCATCACGTTGTGTTCATTTTGTGCCACTTCGTAGTTATTGCATATCTCTTTGAAGTCATTTTGTGTCTCTTTAATAGTCGTTCTGTATCACTTTTATAGTTGTTTTTGTGTCTTTTTAAAGTCATTGTGTTTGTTTTTTAAATCTTTTTGTTTATCTTGTTGGCTATTTTGCATTTTTTGTGGCTCTTTCTAGTTAATATTTGTCTCTTTGAAGTCTTTAAGTCTCTCTTTTATAGTGATTTTGTGTTTATTAGAAGTCCTTTTATGTCTATTTTGTGTCCCTTTGGATCTGTTTGTGTATCTTTGAAGTCATCTTGCTTATTTTTGTGGTCGTTTTGCCTCTTGGTATGTTCATTTAGTGTCTCTTTGTAGTCATTTTGTGTCATTTTGTTTGTCCCTGTAGTCATGTTGTGACTCTTTACAGTAATTGTGTGTCTCCTTTTAAACATTTAGTTTATTTTTTTTCATTTTATAGCTCTTGGAAGCCATTTTGTGACTTTCCTTTAAGAAATCTTAGCATTAGCCTAATAAGATAGACAATTAATAATATCTATATTACACTGAACAAAAATATAAACGCAACACTTTTGTTTTTGCTCCCATTTTTCATGAGATGAACTCAAAGATCTAAAATGTTTTCTACATTCACAAAATAACCATTTCTCTCAAATATTGTTCACAAATCTGTGATAGTGAGCACTTCTCCTTTGCCGAGATAATCCATCCCACCTCACAGGTGTGGCATATCAAGATGCTGATTAGACAGCATGATTATTGCACAGGTGTGCCTTAGGCTGGCCACAATAAAAGGCCACTCTGAAACGTGCATTTTTGCTTTATTGGGGGGGTCTGGGGGGTCCGAAAACCAGTCAGTATCTGGTGTGAGGGATTAGGGTTAGGGTTAGGGTTAGGGTAATGTTGTGAATCGAGTGGCCCATGGTGGTGGTGGGGTTATGGTATGGGCAGGCGTATGTTATGGACGATGAACACAGGCCACTCGATTCACAACATTACCCTAACCCTAACCCTAATCCTAACCCTCACACCAGATACTGACTGGTTTTCGGACCCCCC